GATGAAGAAAGGCTTCTTTGTCGGGGCATCGCGTCCAGACTCCCCCGATCTGCCGACAAACAGCTGATCGGCAGATCGGGGCAGCCATTTAAATTTAAATGAAGCCGCGATTATTTTAATCGCGGCTTCATTTCCCTCTTTCGATCTGGCTAATCTACATGCCTCCGTCGAAGGAGGCATGTAGTCTAGACACACCCTTAGAGCATGTCTACACAGCAGGGCTAAACTCAAAATAAGCTACACAGCTTGAGGTACACAAATTGTGTTGCTTCAGTGGAAATCGCTTATTTCAACTTTTGGTGCTGTCTACCCACCAGTTATTTTGAAATGGAGCACTCTTCCATCAGTTCCCTTACTCCTTGTGCAATGAGGATTACAGGAGTTGGGGTAAGAAGCCCGTGATTTCAAGTTTATTTTGAAATAAAGGTATTGCTGCATACACACGCACTACATTATTTCAGAATAACTGACGCTATTCCGAAATAATGCTGCTGTGTAGACATAACCTCAGAAAGTGCAGCCAAAGCCACTGCGTCAAGTATCTCTTTTACCAAAGGTTTCACCATGAAAATTGGTCAGACCGTGGGCACAATCTGCTCTCACATTCTTCCTTTAGTGCAGGGCTACTCAATACATGGCCGATTTGTTTGCGACCCGCGGTGCAGTTTGGACTTACTTTGGTCTCAACATGCATTCCACGGGTGGGAGCCAAAACAAAAAAGCAGTCAATAGAAAGGTCTTCTGTTGATCTGCGTATTAGTAGTTAAATTCCTGGACTGTCATTGCTCATTAAAAGTGCTGTCATATTGATGGAAATCAGGGAAATGTTGCATTTTATTAATTTCAGCAGAACTGACTTAAATGTGTTGTGTTGTCTTGCCTTCATCTTTGTATCCATGCCTGTCAGTGTGAAAGAAGCTATTTGCATATAGATTTGCATGGGTATGCAACCACATTTAAGTTGTGGCCCTCGGCATGTGCTGTGGGTATCATTCTGGCCCCAGGGCTTCCAAAGTTAAGAAGCCCTGATCTAGACGGTGCTTGGTCCTGTCATGAGGGCAGGGGACTTTACTTGATGGCCTTTTTGAGGTCCTTTCCAGTTCTCGTATCCTATGATGCGAGGCTTAAAGGCTCTCTTTCATGATGAGTGTCCCAGGTGCAACAGAAGATGTCAGAATCCCTGCAATAGATGGATGTGGAGTAACTCGCCCATTCTGCCTGTGTCACCCTACTGCCTAACACACAGAGATTGGCTTTCCCCTAGAATATTGCTGGTGTAAGGGCTTTCTGAGGTGTTTATTTAGCTGTAACCATCTTAACGGAACAGTCTCACTGTCCATGTCAATGTTCAATCCCTTCCTGATTCTAGCTTTGTTGACGCCTCAAATCCATCTCAACCAGTCAGTATGTTAGAGCCTTTTCTAAGACCCCCTCATATTCATTTCCTTTGGATCACCCCCTTTGCCTTTGCCTGACGCCAGAGGTGACAATGTGGAGGGCTGCAAAGGAAAAAGGACACAGATCCAGGAGCTGGAGCTAGGTGGGAAGAGGTTGGTCCCTTCTTCCAGACATGCTCCCGGTATTGCTCCGTGCAGCTGATGTCCTCTCCTGCCTTAGGCAGCCTCCAGCCATGCTGCTGGGAGCCTGGGATGCTGCCTGGCGCTATGCAGGGGCTGCTCTCTCTCCCCGGTATCTAATGTGCTGCACTGGCAGCATCCCAGACAGACAGCGTGGCTGGTGGGAAGTGCATTAGTGGATCTGCATGCCATGGGGCCCGGAGACGGGACAGTAGGAAGACCCCCGCATGGCAACCTTGGATGGAAAGAAAATGGAGATTGTGTGAGATTCCCAAAGTGAGGGTGGGACATGTCAATTCGGGGAATCACATGCGGGTTCTCTGTCCCTCCGCAATGCTCCCTCCTCCATGAATCCCTCCAGTTCTGCATTCTACCGTGGGAGCGGTACCACAGAGAGGAGTCCACAGGAGGGGGGAACACGGACTGACTGAGGTCATGGCATTGCTTTTTCTGTAGGATTCCCCAACCTACTCCTCTTGCCACTCAGGTTCTGTCCATGCTTTCATTGAGGGCAGGGTATCTCAGAGGTGAGCCATGATGCCCTGGTCCCTGCCCTGACTCCAGAGAGCTAAATTAGAAACTTGTTAGGTGTTTGAAGAGCTCAAGCTTTTCTCTCCAACCAGTAAACACATTGCAGTTACAGACATCACATTCATGGGCCACCAGGCTGCCCATTCGCCAGGCTTGGTTAGAACCCAGTGAAAACGTGTCTGGATTTTACCATGAGCTAAACAATCTAGCTGCATCTTTAGATGATGCCACCTCACTGCTCACTCCCCGTTTTAGACTGGTAATAATTATAAATATTTATCGTGGTATTTTTTATGGCAACGTTCTATAATAAATTCTTTGCTTCTCTTTCTGCACAGGCATTTCTGAGCCACGCTGTGGCATTCACAATTTCATGGCGGCTTTCAACCTCACCCCCACTGAACCATTCACATTCATGCTAATGGGCATCCCTGGCCTGGAAGCTGCTCACGTCTGGATTTCCATCCCAATATTCCTGTCCTACATGATTGGTCTCTTGGGAAACTGCACGCTTCTCGTTGTGGTAGGCAAAGAGCAGACCCTGCACAAGCCAATGTACCTGCTGCTCTGCATGCTGGCGCTTGTAGAAATGGGAGCATCTACCTGTGTTGTTCCAAAAGCCATGTGGGTATTTTGGTTCAATTTGAGAGACATTGTAAAGGGGGGCTGCTTCTCCCAGACGTTCTTCTTTCACACGGCTTCTGTGATGCACTCGGCCGTTCTCGTGGCAATGGCCTTCGATCGCTATGTTGCCATATGTAACCCTCTAAGATACACCACCATCCTCAGCAATACATGGATAGCTAAGCTCGGGCTAGTGGGTTTGACAAGAGCTGTTCTCTTCATTCTGCCCATGCCCTTGCTCCTGAACAGACTGCCGTTCTGTGACAACCGAATTATCCCCAGTACTTACTGTGACCACATGTCTGTGGCAAAGATCTCCTGTGGGGATATCACAGTCAATAGGATGTATGGCCTGGTGATAACATTTCTCGTCTATGGGTTTGACCTAATGCTCATTGCTCTGTCCTACAGTCTGATCATCAGGGCCGTCTTCATACTTTCCTCCAGAGAAGCCCACCAGAAAGCCCTCAATACCTGCACAGCCCATGTCTCTGTGATGCTCATGTCTTACCTTCCTGGCTTCGTCTCCGCTGTGACACATCGATTCGGTGAGGGTATCGCTCTGCACGTGCATGTCATCTTGGCCAACCTCTACTTCCTCATTCCCCCCATGCTCAACCCTATTGTATATGGGGTCAAAAACAAAGAACTCCGTGACAAAGTGGGCAAATACAGCAGTAGAAGGTGATTGTATGGGACCACTGACTTTAAACATGTGTACCGAGAGGGGGAAGGGCTAGGAACTCGTTAAATAAGGGTTGCTTGTTCCAAATGGGCTGAGCTCAGAATTATGGTCGTTGAGAGCCTGAGGAGATCCTCACACCTAACAACACTCCATCACCAAGCAGTTGTAGATTCCCTTTCTCTATCACCTGTGCTCTTTCAGTCCCCTCACTTCCCACACTTTGTCCCTAGGCTTTTCCATGATTTCTGAATCTCCGGAACATAGTGTGGGTTGCTGATGTAAAGTGCATTTCCATAAGACTCTGTGTGAACAGTGTGTTTGAGCAGTGTGCCTGTCAGAAAGCTTCACCAGCTCCAGTTGGTCAAAATGGAGGTCAAATGGCATGATCCTTAATTAACTGAAGGTGAAAGGCATAGAAATAACTTTGTGCTCCCAGGATTCTGGCATCAAAAGAGTTTACATTTGTCATACTCAAAGTGGAGGAATATCTGTCAGCTCAAACTCTTCCACAGAAAAAGGTCGTATTATCCTGAACTCGCACTAAGACCATGGGATTTCTCCAATTATTGTGTGATTCCTTCTCCACTCCCAGGCCGTACACTTCCTAGAGTTCACTCACACGGCAGCCTACATTCTATTTTGGACCTCCCTTCAGGAAGTTGAAGGCTGCTGTCATATCTCCGCTCACTCTTCTCTTCTGCAGACTAAATAGATCCAACTCCCTCAGCCTCTCCTCGTAGGTCATATGCTCCAGGCCCCTAATGATTTTGGTCGCCCTCCACTGGACCCTCTCCAATGTGTCCACATCCTTCACAATACTCCAGATGTGGCCTCACCAGAGCTGAATAAAGGGGAATAATCACATCTCTGGATCTGCTGGCAATGCTCCTCTTAATGCAACCTAATATGCCATTAGCCTTCTTGACTACAAGGACACACTGTTGACTCATATCCAGCTTCTCATACACTGTAACCCCCAGGTCCTTCTCTGGAGAACTGCTACTTAGCCAGTCGGTCCCCAGCCTGTAGAAATGTTTGGGATTCTTCTGTCCCAAGTGCATGACTCTGCACTTGTCCTTGTTGATCCTCATCAGATTTCTTGTGGCCCAATCCTCCAATTTGTCTAAGTCATTCTGGACCCTATTCCTGCCCTCCAGTGTACCTACCTCTTCCCCTAGCTTAGTGTCATTCACTAACTTGCTGCAGATGCTATCTATCCCCTTATCCAGTTCATTAAAAAGAGATTGAATAAAACCAGTCCTAGAACTGAACCTTGGGGCACTCTGCTAGAAACCGACGGCCATCCTGACATCGAGCCGTTGATCACTTCCGGCTGGGCCCAATCTGAGCTTTCTATCCATCTTACCATCCATTTGTCCAATCCACATTCCCTTAAATTGCTAGTAAGAATATTGTGGGAGACTGTATCGAAAGCCTTGCTAAAGTCAAGATAAATCTCATCCACTGACTTTCCCATGTCCACAGAGCCAGCTACCTCATCATACAAGGTAATCAGGTTGGTCAGGCACGACTTGCCCTTTGTGAATCCATGCTGACTATTCCTGATCACTTTTCTCTGTGACATACCACCATACTGCACCAACACTCTGACTTTGGCACTTCTCCTATTACTGTGAGATTCTTTCACTGCTCTCAGTCCCAACATGCCCTGGAATTCATCTTGCCCAGCATTCCACGTCATTTGAGCAGGGGCAGGTCTCACTGTGAGGTGTTTTCCCCCCGGGTACATCTTTGGGAACTGCGCAGCCTTCTAGCCAACAAAGTTGGGCTGGCCGTTAATCAACATCCTTTTGCCAGTGAGTCAGCATTTCCAGCCCCCATTACCACCCAGCACAATAACTGGTCACCCCACACACACCAAAGGCCTTCCTAGCTACACAAGTGCAAAAAACAGACATGAGTACATTTGCCTGCTCCTGCCTTCCTAGAGAAGTGTAAACCCAACATGACACTGTCTTACACTTCTCAGGGCCCTATGCGAAGAAGACTGCAAAGAGTCACAAAATTACATCACAAAACGGAGCAAGACTGAGAGACCAGGCAACAAAATGAGAAATAAAATTCTATCCTGAGCAATGTAACTTGATGTATATAAGACAACATAATCTCTACTAATGTATACATGTTGGGTCTAAGTTAGCCAGTACAAAGGAGGGGAACAGAAATGATGAGGGATATGGAAGAGCTTCCGAATGAGGAGAAATGAATAAGGCTGGGACTTTACTGCTTTGGAACGGTACAATCAAGGGGGATAAAATAGAGGCCTATAAAACCATCCTTGTTGCAGAGAAGGCAAATGTTAGCATACTCATTACTTTTTCTGATAACATAAGAACTTGAATGAAATGCATTGGCAGCAGGAGTAAAAAAAGGAAAAGGAAACATTTCCATTCCATATCACATAGTAAACCTGAGATACTTCTTGCTGAGAATGTTGTGGATGCTAAGACTATCACTGCCATCTCTTCATTTATTAATGGAGATCAGGTCATTGAGTCCAGTCCCCTGCCTTCACAGCAGGACCAAGTACCATCCCATAAGGATTAAACTCACAACCCCGGGTTTAGCAGGCCAATGCTCAAACCACTGAGCTATCCCTGCTGCCTGAGCTGCTCATCTCTCCTCCGTGATCTTCTTTATTTCTTATTCAATTTTGTTAGCCAAGATGGGCAGGGGATGATGCAAGACCATGCTCTGAAGTCAGGTCCATGTAGAAGACATCCATCTAATCTGGTACCTGGCATGGGAAGAACAGAACAGCAGTATTGTCGACAGATTCATCACCTGTTGTAAATCTGTTTCCTAGCCAGATGCTAAGTAGACCCAGAATTTGGGGCTCTACCTCTGAACATTTTGGCTAACAGTGTTTGATACACCTCACCTCCATGAATTAATCTAGATCTTTTAGAGCCCCATTGCATTCAGGTTTTCGTAAAATGCCCCGGAAACAGGTTTCACGGGTTGATGGGGTTGTGTGCAGTACTTCCTGTGCTTTCTTTCACACTGGAGGCCTCTTGATTTTCTTGGGAAGTCTCTGGTTCTTCAGTTTTGTGAAGAAATAAACAAGACTTCTGTATTCTATTGTCTGAAACTGTTTGTGTGATTGTTTCCATTCTCTGTACCAGTTCCATTTCTGATATCTCTCTTTTCATCAGAGGCAACCAGACCTACACCCACTATCCTCGTTGTGTGATTTAAATAGTGGCATTTCTATATTTTCTGTCATCTTATCTATGCCTTTCTTAATGTGATCATACTTTCTAAGGAACTTTACTTCATCTTCATAAAGTCTTAGGGTACGCATACACTGCAATGCTATTTTGGCATACCAGAGTCTCCCAAAATAGCTATCCCACATCTTCAAAGCAAGCCCGTTATTTTGGGCTTGCTATTCCAATGTCCCTGTAAACCTCATTCCATGAGGAGTAAGAGACGTTTTGTAATAGTGCCTTATTTCGAAAAGTGGTGCTCTGTCGACAGCGCTAAATGACAAAATAAGTTATTTCGAAATATCATCAAATTACGATACACAACTTGCATAGTTCAAATTGTGTAACTTATTTCCAGTGACGGTGCAGTGTAGACGCACCCTTTAGTGGCACTGTTTGCCATATTCTTCATATTGGCATGATCATGAAATCGTTATAACATAAATTATTCAGTTTGCACAAGATATGCCTTGTTAAGTGTTATTGGAACAACAGGGCATGTTGAAAAGGATCTTGTCATTTGACCTGCACAGCAAGACCATGACTTTTCAGAGGCCAATGGAATTCATGGTACAACTGTATGGGCCGCATCCAGCAATACACTGCTACAATCAACTGAACTGATTTTAGGTCCCGAATGATATGGAAACTTCCCCACCCGTAGTGCTGATGGAAGGGCAGTGCCCACAAAAAAAGAAAGCCAGGCTGAACATTGGTAAGGTCCAATTTACCCTCAAAGTCTAAGCTCCTGTTAGCATCAAATTTTTTCACTCCAGGGGAAAGTTCTGAAGCTGTAGGTCTCCAGGGTCTAATTTCTGCTCATCCCACCACTCACAGAGCTAAGGGAATTGTAGCCAGACCTACCTGGTAGTCAGCAGGGACTGAACAGGGGAATCATAAAGGTGATTGTTCAGCTCGCCAAATGTCAGATGTGAGATTCACATGATGAGTCTTTTATCTCTGCCTTAAGGTCGCAAGAGTGAAATTTGCCCTCTCTCTTAACTTTTAGTTCTAAGCTTTGATGAAATGTCTCAAGTTTCAAGTCTAGAGTCATCTGGTCAAGAATTTACCAGCAGGGTGATTTGAAGTACAGTACTTACTATTGTCAGAAACACCCAGGGATTTACCTGGCAAAATTTGATCTACACATTTATTTGTCATTAAATCATTTCCTTTTTACTTACTGTGTCCTTCCCTTTGTCTCAGTAGCTTCCTTTTTTGCGCAGTATTTTTTTTTTTTTGGTTTGGCGAAGTTTTCGAATTCAGGGATTTCACAGCACTGTTAGGTCCTGTCTACACAGCAGGGCTAAACTCAAAATCAGCTACACAGCTTGAGCTACACAAATTTGCGTCGCTTCAGTGGAAATATCTTATTTCGACTTTTGGCGCTGTCTACCCAGCAGTTATTTTGAAATGTTTTGCGCAGTATTTTTTTTTTTTTGGTTTGGCGAAGTTTTCGAATTCAGGGATTTCACAGCACTGTTAGGTCCTGTCTACACAGCAGGGCTAAACTCAAAATCAGCTACACAGCTTGAGCTACACAAATTTGCGTCGCTTCAGTGGAAATATCTTATTTCGACTTTTGGCGCTGTCTACCCAGCAGTTATTTTGAAATGGAGCACCGAGTTCCCTTACTCCTTGTGCAATGAGGATTACAGGAGTTGAGGTAAGAAGCCCGTGATTTCAAGTTTATTTTGAAATAAAGGTATTGCTGCATACACACGCACTACATTATTTCAGAATAACTGACGCTATTCTGAAATAATGCTGCTG